TGAACATGAATTGAACCTCAATCGCGCCTGAATCGCGCCTAAAGAAATATGGTATGGTGATAACCTACCAATGATGCATTAATTATTCAACAAACAAGAAAGGGCAACAAGCACCTACCAGCTGATAGGTGAGGACTGTATACTTTCAATGTTTTGTTGAGGACGGTATGGCAAGGGCACATCTAGTGATATTATCAGAAAAAATATTATAAAAGTAGGTAGTCCTTTTAGTAGCTCTATACTCATATCTATATTATTATTCTAATTTTCAACTCGTATGAGCATTTCCAGTCGTAAACCAGTTACTGCAAATATTCAGTAGGTTTATTTCAGAAAGTAACAGTTGTTATCCTTGGTTTAAAGAGACTTGCGACATTTCAAGTTGGATATGGATAATATGTCGTTCTTTTTATATCATTGTGTCTATGAACGATATCGAAATAAAAACGCAACAGTTCTTTTATTATTACAGGGTGACTGGTAAGTCACTGTAAAAGAGCTATTAGAAATTGCATTTCCAATTGATTTAAAAAAATAGCTACGTCGATTTACCAGTCACGTTTACAATAAACGCGAGTAAAAGTTCATAGTGCTCAAAGTAGGGTAGTAGAAGGTGATTACGATCAAATCAATTGCAAAGTCATATTATTCGATAACATTGTTGATTGATCAGGGTTTTCTATAAATGACAATTTGTCTTTCATTGTTAACTCAATGGGCCCGTTTCAGTGAAAAAGTTCATTTCATTATTACGAAGTACTATAACCCAAACTAGTTCATTGTCGCGAACCGTTTTTTCTTCAGAGCTCTGTAACTTTTTTAAACGCATGACGTAATCATCCGAGAATACCATATAAGATTCGACTTACGTATATCAATTCTCTATTTCTGATAGACAATAAGTGCAAGAATATTTTTGATTGTCATTTCAATCAGAAGAACAGTACATAATTGTTGACATCATATACAGGATTCTATATTGTACTTCCGATGATACTCGAAGTGGGAAAAAGTGCCGTTTAATGGGTTTGAAAGTTCATTTCAATTTCACTTTTTCATCTACATCACTGAAGAAAAGAGAGTGTACGAAGGACTGTTTTTCTCGGCCCATGATCCTGATATACCCGGTATCTAGTGCCTCAATATTTGTGTCAGCAGTACCTGGTTCTGATTTCTTGATTCATCATAGCTATACAATGAATTGTACCAAGGTTATCATTTTTCAGATAACATTATATGTAGTTTTTTATAGTACCAAGCTAATGACAGGTAGATAAGTCACTTATGACAAGTGAATAAGTCCATAATCGCAGAATGAATAAGTCACTAATGATAAGTGAATAAGTCATTAATGACGAGTGGATAAGTCACTAATATTAAATGAATAAATCACTAATGACAAGTTCTGTGTTCACTAACGGTAATCAATCTTAAATTCAAGGTTAATAGTGGTAGGTGTACATTTTCAGGAACACAAATAGTCTTGTCTCCTTGTCCCAAATAGTATACAAGTTTTTACTTGCCACTATTGAATATTCACCCATGGTTAGTAATTTTTTTCTCGAGGCACACCATTCTGATTGGTTCTTATATCGCAGGAGATGACAGTTCCATATACGTCGTGGAATTGCTGCCTTCCAATAACAGAAATGAATATGTCGAAGACACTACAATGATACCACTAACCGAACCGATTTTTTTAACGCCTTGACACGTGTCTATCTAAATATGTTAGCATCTTCAGGAGAAGATTGAAAAAAAAATCGGTTTGGTTAGTGGTGAAGCAGTGTAGTGAAATGAATGTCAGACTGAAGATACGAATTTGGTATATATAGAAAGAATCCTCATACTTGGGAAGCTGAGAAAACAAATTATTTAACAGTCATTATAGGATATTATACAATCATTTATTGGCCTATTCTTACAGAAACCTTGTATACAATATCATGTATAGGAGATAGGAGGAACAGATCACCATATCAAAACTGATGGAACCCTTGTCGTATTTATTTTTTGCTTCTCACAAAAAATGATAATCAATCAATTAAATAACAGAAAATTTGGATTGATGATTTCGTTTTCTGAAATATGAATGAAAAAACGACCAATGTTTGTTGTTCACTTTCATTTCAAAATTTGTCATTTTTACAATTCCATCTAGCGGTTAATGGTTCTCGCGAAACAAATACCATAGATTAAAAATACCACGAATACTATAGATCATTTTGAACACGATTCAGTGGAATATCCCACAACCGTCTTGACTGTTCAGTGCAGCGGGTCCACCAGTTCGCATTTATGTTATCGAAGGTTGAGACGCTGTTTGTCTGCGAGGTCGCAAGATGATAAGTAGACGGCTAACAGCATCTGTTCTTACTGTTTTGTATTTCGAGCAAGTTTATTCGCAGTGTGTGATTCAAAATGATACCATGATGTGTATTGGAATTTCTGAGCTCCCACGGGATTTTGCTGAAGGCAAAGGAGGAGAAGATCTACGAACTGTAACTGATATTGAAGTCAAAAGTCCTGGAAACCGTACACGAGACCTACTAGTTCCTACCAACTCGTTCAGCCTCACTCCAAATTTGAAATCTCTGAGGATATATAACTATTCTGTTGGACGACTAATGGGGGATACTTTCTCGAATTCATCAGTTGAAAGAGTATACCTCAAGTACGATGATATTAATTACATATACTCTAAAACTTTTACGAATCTTCCTAAGGTAAAAACCATCCATCTTAACAATAATTTGCTGAAAGCCATTCCCAAAGGTATATTTGGAAAATTACCAGAACTCATCGAATTGTCATTCTCAAACAATGAAATAACTTTTATCGAAACCGCAGCCTTGGAAAACCTTCCAAAACTAAGGAAGTTGCGTCTGAACCACAACAAAATTGAAAGCATTTTCTTGCATCAAACAATAAGCCACCCAGAGAAGCTAGAGATTTTATGGCTTCAGAACAACTCCTTGAACTCAGTCACTAACTTTATGTTACGAAAATTGACGACCTTGAAGCTCCTAAATCTAGGTTTTAATAGGATTTCATATATTGAACCTAGTTCTTTCGAACAAACACCAAATCTAGACACTCTTGTGTTGACACACAACAGCTTGAAAACAGTGGATGGCGATATTTTTCCCAGGACAGGCATGACCTCTCTACGAAACCTCTACTTGGACAACAACCACTTGATGTTTATTTCATCTAATTTCTTCTTCAGACTGAACGGCTTAAGAAAAATCACGTTGGTTGGAAACCCTTGGTTTTGTCCTTGCCTGCATATAATTGAGAGAATTTTACACGAAAACAGCATCCTTCAGCAGTGTCAAGGTGTTTATAGCACCGGTGAAAGACCATTTTGTGTTATTGAAAATGATACGAGTAACTGTAATCACAGATATAATAACGTTTTGAGTGAAAAGTATATCAATTACTTAGCTGCCAATCCAGTTTACACGCGCGCAATTGATTGTGTATTATGAAGAAGACATTTTTGACATGAAAACATGATCGAACAATATTTTTTTGTGTATGGGTTGAAGAGCATCAAGACATGAGTTTATTATTCTTGCTGGATAGTGGTCTTTTCAGATAGATTGAGTTTCCACGATACTGCTTTCACCTCCTTCCACAGCATATAATGTTCCATTATCTTTCGACCATTTCATGTGGGCTATTCATTCATTTGACTTCCCCTATGGATTGAAAATTCTGGACAAAACTGTTGCAACTGAACTGAAATAGTCCAGATTTTGGATGAGCTTCGTGCAAGAGAAATTTATAAATCGATCTCTCTAAAAAATGATTTTAGTTAGTAAACAATTCCTTCTCAATAAGTGATAATAGAGAATAAGAATTCTAGTAACCATGTTCTTCTGATAGTTGTTTCAGAATCGTATAAATACAAATAAACATTACATAAATATATAGATAAGGAATATACGAATATACGGAAATTCTCCATAATCGTATTAACCGCTAAGATGAACGGAAGCGTTGAAATTTGTTCGATATGATTTCATTCCTTGTTTATATATTTCAGAATTAAAATAATAAACAACTGGTTAACGATAAATTTGTATCATTCAATTATGTTTATTCACAGTGTGTAATCCAAAATGGAAAGTAATCTTGTGATGCAGTTTCTGATAATTAGTTACCACAAAATTTTGCTGATATTCCTGGAAACCCAGAAATTATTCGTGAAATTATGATTGATAGTAATACGAACACTGAGAACGTTAAAGAAAAACTATAGTATTTCGAGCCATTTCAGTTCAATCTATGCCAAATTAGAAGTACTTCAAAAGGATGCATTCACAAATATCACAGCCGTACGATTGTTTCTGTCTCATGATGATAACGACCAAAAAGGCATTGGGTTATTTAATATGTCAAAAGTGCAGAAGATGTATCTTAGCATAATTCGATGAAAGCTGTTCTAAGAAGAAGAATTGAAAACTTCGAAACTAAACTACAACAAAATAGATACTATATATGTATATCTACGTGCACCAAATGATAAAGCCAGATTCCCAGATTCTCTAGAAAGATAATCGCCTCTTTATCATTCTCTGACAGTACTCACGTACTTTATGTCTGAAAATTTGTCAAATTTGAGAGTTCTCAATGTAGTAAACAACAAAATATAAGCTATTGAATCTTCGAAGATACTCAGAATCGACATATATTGATGTCAAACTGATGGTGATTAAGAGTCCTCTTACCCTCGTGAGATATTTCATTATTATACCAGTGACTTATTCAATCCATACCTAATTATATGGCATCATTATAAGGATTGAAATTCGAATTATAAAAACCATGTTGCATGAAATTCTGTATTAAATACGTTATATAAATCAGGTCAAGTAAATCAAATCGGAAAGAAACCTAAAACATACAACTGGCATTCAAAATAGAGGAAATAATAATAATTTCAAATATCGGGTTCAGAATTTCCACATATAAAATTGGCAATAACCACCCACCTTATGACAAATGACTCAGAAAACTTCTCAGCGGCTTCAGTTTCATGTCATTATGGACCTGAAATAGAAGAATTGAAGAAATTATTATTATATTAGAAAATAAAAGCTCTAATCCATGCTTTAAATCGATTTTGTAATTTATAATTTCGAGGACGTATTTGACGTAATCTACCTCATTTTAGGACTTACGTAACGCATATTTTAGAAAAACAAAACAGAAATAAACTGGTGGTTTCACACACTGATGTATATTTCCATACATCTCCAGTATATCAATATATGTGAGAGATTGAAGAATTATTGTCACATTATCACCAGATGGGTGATAGGAGGAACCAAAACCAGTAAAACATGGATGGAACATTATAAGAACTGTTCAGTTGTAAATTGATTTCATTGATTGTATCAGTATCAGTAGCTTCAATATTTTTAGCTTCGACTAGCACTGATGTACAACTTATCTTCCTCTTCCTATTCGTCAATAGTTCTTGTATAATGTCGTACTTTATCGACATGAACTGAAAGGTATATGGTTCGAATATAATGAGGAACTCATGTACGTGTCCAATAACAGATCGCAATGGGGTATCTACAACTATAGATTATGCCAGAATGTAATATAAGCAACGGCAACATATCCGAGAATTCTGCAAATCGAAATAATTTATGTCTAATGAGACTCGATGGGATGTGATCACGATGAGTTCAACAACTATGTCTATATAGAAAAACAAAAATATTAGACAACATGCATCTCATTCCATACATTCTAAGACGCAAATACGAAATTTCCCTAGAGTCTCTTATCTCTTACCCTTGAGATTTTAGGTTTCTCAAATATGAAGTGCTTCAAAATATAATTATGCACAAGTACATGGGACACCTGGAAAATTTGTTGAATTTTAGCAGCTGTTGCTTGTAGCTTATCTAGACCGGTTTGCTCGGCCTTTGTGCATACATTCATTTCTCGTTCGATTTCCTTGTTTCTATTGAATTATATTTCGCAGTCTCGTCACAGATTCTGAACACCCTGTAGTCCTATAGTGACAATTCGAGTGCTTCAAGAATATGGGTAATAATAGAAACACAAGAATGATAAACTGGACAAATTCCAGCGAAAACTTAGGAAAATTCAAAAAGAATTGGAATCAACTCGTCAAAGTGAGTTCAATATATCAATTACGTATTCCTGAAATAGCTAAAACGTAAATTTATTATGTCTCAATCAATATATAGACTTAGAACAAAATGATTCAATGTTGAAAGTCGCTGGAAATTCGGTTTTTGCTGTTCAATAAAAAACGGCTGATACATTTCATGCATGACTTTAGTTGGTTACACTAGAAACGCTAACAAACGAAGAACGTATAACTACACACATGTGTTATGTTATTACTTCAAATAAATTTTCATGCTTGGTTCCTCACACAGGTTTGAGTTCAACTTCAAGTGAATCTGAGAGAGATTATGATTCTCAAGATAATTACCAGGAAGTATTTTCTCCTGTTCCTGATGAGTCGCAACCAATAATGGAACAACCGGCTGAGGATGCCATAGAGATTTTAGGAGAGGACCCACGCGTTGGCTACTAGGCCAACGGGCCCGGATCCGGATGTGCATGAGCAAATTGCGAGTAGATGGAACATATTTTTGCAGAAGGGTATGGTAAAGGCAGATCGAAAAGAGCTAACCGAGAAATACCCACCTCCTAACAACGTGCCAGCCCTGAATCCACCCAAGATGAACCCCGAAAATCAAGGATGCTTAACAGTAAACTTGAACAAGCAGGGCAGTTCCCTGTCAAGAGTACAGGCTGCTGAGTGCCGTGATATGCGCAGTAGCCATTCCTCTTAACACTTTTTCCTCATCAGCTGCAGATGAAAGTAATCCACATCTTTTGCAGCTAAACTTCTGACAGATGTTCATCTTACAATCTCCTCGCATCGACGATATGACATGACCGGAACCCTGGATCACTCGGTCAAGAAAACATCAGTTATGGCCAGGCCCATCGATGAGTGGTTCTTCAGGAGCAGGCTCGCCGATAATGTTGAAAATACCAAGGAACTCCAAACGAACCAACCGGCCGACATATCGTCCGAATTTAATACAGATCAACCAACCCACAACGTGATCAACAACTTCTCACATTTCATGCCATGTCTCTCATATATGAGCGACTTTGAACTTATCCAGGGTGCTTCGTCTCTCATATATACTCTATCAGTGCGTGTCTCTCACAAATGCATCACGCTGATGGGGAATGTACAGAGTGGCCCCTGGAGAAAACTATGTGGATCTTGGTTTGAGCAAGATTGAAAACATAAAGTCTTTGTAGTACAAAAAGTCAAAAATATTATATTTCCGTACAAAATGAGGTAAAAATACTCAATCACGGCATGGCACGCAATGTGTTAAACATCAAGCGCCAATCGAGTGAATTTCGACGCAAAAAATAAAATGAAGACAGGAAGGACAGGCCAGATTAACAAAAGCGTATGGATGAACATTACAGATAGTTCTCTAATCTTAGAATGGACAGAAGGATATAATATTCCCTCCGAAAAACAACCATGTCAACTAACAGAGCCCCAGGATATAACAAGTACATGTCAAATAACAACAGTTATTTACGAAAACAATCTATATATATGTCACAACGAATCTGTATGAATCGTATGTCGTTGGAACTCAAAAGAAAAATTGAGAGTCCAAATTTTTGTTGTATATTTTGTTATATTTACTTATATGTATAATACTTAGTATTGAAGTCGAAATGGTAGAAATTTGTATTGTAATCGTAATCAGCCATATATTTTACCATATCGATCGCCATTTGAAAAATAATAGTTAGACACGAAAATGTAATTTTGCCAACTTATCTTATTCATATCTATCATACTTGTCACTAAAACTTCGCGATTGTGATTTTCTGATATCACCTGAGGTCCTTAGGTTAGTTTACTTCCGATCATGGCCACCAAGATGTAATTTCAAAAGTGACTCCGAAAAAATTAAGTATAAAAACTTTCGAAAATGTCACATTCTGATCTAGAATAAATTGTCTCAGAAATCAAAAAATTGAAAATTTAGAACCGGAGCCATTTCCGGTGACCGGAAAGTGAAAAATTCCTCTTCAAATACTATTTACCTATACCAAATCTCATTTTGATACACCTAATGGTCTAGAAGTTATGACCTGTCTAATAGATTTGTTGACACCCGGTATATGTCGGCGTCAAACAGTGAAATCCGTCATTCTTTGAAATGCCTAGTCATTTCACGTATTGCCGGCAAACAGCGTAACTCTAAATTTTGTACACCGTTTGCCTAATAGTTTCAGGCATTCCCTGTAATGACGGAAGGAAGGTTCATTTAGGCCAAGTCAGGTTAGATTGTTCAGAAGCAGTAGTCTCTTCTGTTCTCTTAAGTAATTTTCAGACCAATATACTTTCCAGGAAGAAGGTTCATTTAGGCGGAAAAATAGTCTCTTTATACATATGCAGAAAGGATATTTTCCTTCCTCAACCCTCCGGCAAACAGAGTAACGGCTGAAAATGGAAGTTACGCGTTGTTACGCTGTTTGCCGACAATACGTGAAATCTCTACTGTGACTAGGCATTTCAGGGAATGACGGATTTCACTAACTAACGCCGACATATACATTCCTACTTTCTGCTCGTACTGATGGTGAAAATTTGAGGCACGAAATGTCAAAGTTTTCAGAAGTTCAAAAATAACTTTATCATGAATCTTTGAAGATACCGAGTACTTATACTGTTTGAAAAAGTTGGTCGTTTATGAAGTATGACTATCAATGGGTAAAGTAAAAGCAAGCTCAAATTCTACTTTGGAACAAACAATATACACTTATAAGTTATTTGACTTTATAATTCAATAATAAAATGGTAATTCAAAACTGCTTCGTTACACACATTTCACGTGGAATGAGGAACCTAACTTTCTCTTAGGTCAAGTATAACAATCACAAGAATTTTCTAATCTGATGCTCACTGAAGGTATAATGGAATTTATTATATCTGTAGTAGGTACATCAGGAAAACCGTTATGAGGTTTATGCAATGCTCATGATGATGATAGTTGTTATTAATAATTACCTACTACGAAGGTAAATGTGGAATTCTTATTACCTTACTTCGGTATTGAATGGAAGTAGTTTATATATTAAATATTGCTTCTTTTTTGTCCACTGCGAATAGATGGAGCTAATTACATAATACTTATATGTGATGCAATGTTTAATATAGATAATTCAAGTTGTCTTCTTGCATATGTATATGTATTTGTGCTCAATATGGAAGGTCCTATTTATCTTAAAACCGCTCCATTGACTTCTTACAGAAATACTTTGATGGCATGAACGATATCTGCATGTTGTTTGATAATTATTTGAAATTTGCAAAATACTAATGAGTACAGATGACTGTGGGTTGATACAGCTGATAAGATAAAATAAGGAATAAGATAAGAAAGTTCAACATACGTATTATAAGGGAAACGTTTATACTCATGTACTTATATAAAATGAGAAATAAGGAATAAAATAAGATTATATTATTTTGTTCGGAAATGGAAGTGCGCGTGTGCAGATGATGTCAGGTTGGCACGTATCTAGATGATCTAATCCTGACTACCATCATGTCTGGTATTATTCAATTCTTTAAAGAATTATTATCAGACACGCTGACTTGAATAATGAAATAATTCGAAAATTGTAACGTAAATAAAAAACACAAAACACCCCTTATGGTATATTGTTCTGAAAATTGATATAGGAGTATTTGTTGCTAGTACTAATCGAATGCCATCATCAAAATTTTTTAAAAGAAGCCTAGTCCGTTTTCTTTAATTTTGCCGGAGTTTTTGTAATCGAAGTAGGCTAAGAAATTGTGATTGATGATTTTTTTAGTCGACAAAGTAGATAATTTTGAGTAATATTATGAGAAGACAACATTTAAAATCTTTCTAGGTATACGAAAGTACATGGGTGGGGTGAAGCAAATTGTAACACACTGTAGGTACAGGAAGGCTATCAAC